AACAACAATACTACAGCGAGAATAAAAGTTACGCCTTCTTTCTTTGCGTGAACATTTGGGCGGCGTTATGCAAATTTTCCCACACAGTGACGTAGACATCTGGGGGCATGTTTAAACGAGGCGTTTTAGGAGGGCGTGGACAAGTCTTAACTTTTATAAAGAATATCTCTGTGGATTTGAGACTTTAGTCTTTGCAACTTTACAGATCTTCTTTATGCACCAAGAGTTTGTAACACTCCAAAGAGAAAGGAAAAATTGAAATCGCATCATATGACCCCTTTAATGCCCAACAATTCGTACAGTTCGCGTAACGTACGTGACATGAACGCCGTGCCTTGATCAGTGAGAATCTCTTTGGGGATTCCCACTCGGGAGATCAACCGAAACAGTGCGTCCGCTACACTTTTCGCTGAAATGTTGCGAAGCGCTACTGCTTCAGGGTATCGTGTTGCATAGTCCACTAGGATTAATGCAAAGCGATGCCTGCGTGCCGATTGTTCTAATGGCCCGATGAGGTCCATACCAATTCTTTCGAAGGGGGTCTGCATTAGAGGAAGAGGGCGCAAAGGCGCTTTTGGGGAGGCCGGTGGATTTACCAGCTGACATTCACGACAAGCCGCGCACGACCTGCGCACATTCTCGTGAATGCCCAGCCAAAAGAATCGGGTCATGAAACGATTTAGTGTCGCTGCCTGTCCTAAATGCCCCGCCATTGGATTACAATGAGCCGCCTGGAAAAGCATTTCCCGACAGCTTTTAGGTACTAACAATTGGGTTGTATCCTGTTTTGTCTGAGTGTCTTGTGTCACTCGGTACAACCGATCCTTTAAAATGGCAAAATAGGGATAGGAGAGAGAACGGGCGGGTTGGAAACGCTGACCATCGATGGATTGGACCTTTTCAAATGCCTGCTTTAGGGACTCATCCTGGGACTGTTCCAGGGGAAAATCATCACGCTCAGAGAGGATTAGCCTCTCATTCGCGCTCCGTTCCCTTGGCTCAGTATTCCGCGGTCCCAGTTCAGCCACTCCCACCTGCGCGTCCGCTACGCTCTCCAGCCATCTCTCTCCACAAGATACATCCGCACACAAACATCCCAGTAATTGACTAAATGCTGGCCAATTTGTCCCCAAAATTAACGGATGCCGGAGGTGTGGATTAATTGCGACCTCCACACTATGATTTGACCCCGAAATTGAATCAGTGGGGACATTAGAGGATACTTCACCACATCACCGTGCACACACCGGACCGGAACCATGCGGCTTCTATCCAATCCCTCGAGCTGAATCAGGCTTTGATGGATCGAGGTTTGGTTACAACCAGAATCCACCAAAGCGAGATAGGTACCCCCCTTAATACTCACAGGTATTTGATACAGGCCAGCCTGATCGGGGGCAGCCTGTGGGCTGTCCGGGACCTGGATCAGTGCCCCCACCTCCATCACTGGGCACCGGTCAATGAAATGCCCTGGGTCCCCGCAACACCAACAGGCCGGCCCAGACCTTCCCGCTGCTCTGTTGGCAGGAAGTGGGTCAAGGGACTGACCTGGAGAGAGTGGAGAAAAAGGAACCGCTGCAGATCCCGCACTGACTAGCCCCGCCCCCCTGGAAAGGGAACAGGATAGGGGGAAGAAGAAATATTAGGGGAAGAGAGAGAAAGAGAAACAGCTAGCAGGGATTCGCCGACTCCTGGGCACGCCACCATCTGGTATTCCGCCAACTGGATGTCCAGGTCTAGCGACGTTGGGCGGTGTCACTGGACTCACTCTGCCGATAAACTGGTCCAGCACCACACGGTCGAGGATCTGCTCGACGTCGCCTCCCCCAGCCAGCAGCCATTTGCAGCAGGCGTCCCGGAGCTGTTGAGCCAACATGAAGGGCCGGCCACTCGCGCCCAGATCCAGCGACCGAAACCGCTGGCAATGTTGTTCTGGGCTCAGGCCGACCCGCTGCAGGATGGCTCGCTTCAGATCGGTGAAGACCAGGAGGTTTTGAATGGGCAGTTGTTGGGCCGCCACCTGCGCCTCCCCTGAGAGCAGTGGTATGAGACGCACTGGCCAGTGCTCTCATGGCCAGCCACATGCCTCGGCCAATTTCTCGAATAGATCGATGAACGCCTCTGGATCGTCCTGTGGCTGAGGCTCATGGTAATTTATTTAACTGGTTCACAATTCCAAACAAACATGCGCTTCAGGCGCTTCAAATAAACAGAACTACACAGCACTTAGTTGATTGTCTGCTTCACAGGCAACAGTCTTTTCCCCACGAGTCCTCAGTCTGTCTCTTTCTCTCCAGCTCTGGGTTTCTCCGTGGCCTTTTACGGTCTCTCCAGGCCAATCACTGAAATGAGAAGCAGGTGAATGTCATTTTGCACTTGACCTACTTACTCACCGCTCGTCTCCGACCTCTCTGTACCGCTGCAGACTCCGCTAAACCACGCCCCCCTCGCCACATTTATATTTAGCTTGTTCTATATTTCTATTTACACTAATTGTGAAATGTGAAATGTGAAATCATTGTGAAATATGTGATGTCTGACTGATGTTTTTCAGTCATGGCACCAGGTGTGCTGGAGAGGTGTCTGCGGTTTCAAACAACAACATCTGTGGAGTGGGCGTGGCCTACAACTCCAAGGTAGCAGGTATGTCTCTGATAGGCTCTGACAGTGATGACCTCATAATAACATTAACATCTCATATAAGATGCCAGGCGAATCGTCTTGAAAGTAGATGAGAGTGTCAGGGAAGGAACCAGAAAAGAGCTGTCAAGTCAGACGATAGGCACTTGCCATAGTAAACCAGCTGAGAAGTTTTCAGTGGATGCAACTCAAATACTGCTGCTTTTATGAGAAGATGAATTTAGAAGTAATCCAATGTCCTTTTAATTTAATTTCCAAAAAAGTCTATCTGTTTCCTCCATTTTTAGATTTCAGAAAAATCATATATCCTACACTGAGTGTTCACATATATTATTCACTCATATATACTGATATTAAGCTTTTTGCTTTCTGTACTGGCTATTGGATTGTTAGTCTTGCTCGTGTCAGCATGACATCACAACAACTGCTTCTGAGCAAAAGCTGTTTCTCAAACAAACCAAATAATACCAAGAACATGTTTTCGGTTGCAGATGGTGCAGACAAATGTACAAATTCAGCATGCAATTCAATTCATGATTATTTGTATAGCGCTATTTAAACGCATAATATTTAAATGCAGCTTTACAGAAAATGCACGTTTCAAATGTTACATTCAAGAAGCAGAAACAATATTCACATTAAAGTGTTTGGATGCTATCAAGACAGTGTTGTATTTAAAAAACTTGCATGCTTTATCAGGTTTGTTCTGTGCAGTCAGTAATGATGAATGACTTGTCTCCGTTTGAGACATCGCTTTGTTTCTTAGCCTAATGGAATATCAGCTCAATTAATAATTTCTACCCTTCCCCTCTTCCACAACATCCAGCAGCCAGCACCAACAGCAGCATCAATAAAAACATCATTTACGCTCTGCAGCACATTGATTTATTTTTCTTTTCAAAAGGCCACAAAAGAAAAGGCGAGTAACTAATAGCCAGTGAATGTCTTTTGTCCCTCACAAAGGGACACACGCATGACTCTAGCTTCAGCTTCATCCAGGAAGAGGTCAGTATGAGGACACTCAGTCAGTCTGACAGCCGCTGATGTCTCATGGCACGCAGCACTGATGTTCCTGGAGTGCCTTCATACATGGATTTAAGCTTTAACATGTGCGGTAGAAAACACAGTATACGGAGTCTAAGTATATTTAGCCTGAACTGTTATACAGTCTTTTGTTCAGGAATACAGTTACACTCGCAGTATAAAAACTATTGAACTTGTATTAGAGTTTTCTTCACAGTGGACTTGCATAGACAAAAAAAAAACGGGTTAGAAGTATATAACTAGTTAATTAACAGTGTACCAATAAGTTTACTTAAACTTTCAGGAGTAAAGAAAAAGTTAGATGTTAACTAGTTATTTAAAGTTTACTACTGTTACACTTAAAATTAGACTTTTATAAACTTTAGAATGGGCCAAATTATTCCCAAGAAATATTGAAATAGTACAGATACATATATACTATTAGTGAACTGATATTAGTATACCTACTGCTACTATAGTATGCTTAGTGCATTTTAGTGTATATACAGTACGTTTCTACAGTGTGTGCATAATTATTAGGCACGTTGATATTCTGATCATATTTTTCTTCCAAGCACATTTTACCAATTCCAAACCACATTACAATCTTAATAACTACTATTGATTTTGTATTTAATCATTTATAAGTGATATATAATTGTTCATGAAGGCTGGAAGTGAAAAACTCCTTATATTCAGGTGTGCAGAATTATTAGGCACGTTTTCTTTTACAGATAAAATGAGCCAAAAAAGAGATTCAAACTAAAGACTAAAAGACAAAAAATTATGAAATGCCCATGATAAATATTCAAAACTAATGCAATACTAGAATTTGCAAAGTTAAGGCATGACCATTGGTCAGCAAAATGCTCACTTGGTCAGCGGGGTCAGAAAAAAAACAGGTGGAGAAGAAAAGACACATAATAATTACAAAATAATGAAGAATTAATGTAAAAATTAGGTGTGAAACCATCAGGAAACATTTAGTCTCCAGCGCCACCATTTTCCAGAACTGCAACCTTCCTGGAGTCTCCAGAATTACAAGGTGTCAGGTTCTCAGAGACTTTGCTTGGGTAAAATATCCTAGAAATTGACCCTCACTTTATAAGAATAACATGCTGAAGTATTGTGAAATACATGAAGACTCATTTTTATAGGCTATACGGACAGATAAGTTGAGAGTGACTCTTGAAGGACCAGCATCACATCCTCTTGTACCACTGTTTGAAGAATTTATCTCCAGAATCTGGCAGTAAGTTTTAGGAGTTAATTTTTAGTCAATCCTGCAAGTCAGACTTTTCAGGATAGGAGATGGACTAAAAATGAACTAAAAATGAATAAATACAAAATTAATAGTAGTTATTAAGATTGATGTGGTTTGGAATTGGTAAAATGTGCTTGGGAAAAAAATATGTTTAGAATATCAATGTGCCTAATAATTATGCACACACTGTAATGCGTAAGTGCATGGTTTATAGTGTATAGTGACGCAGCTTTGAACTTAAGGTTTTTTTTTGTTTTGCTTTTTTAATAAAAGTATACTTAAAATACTTAATTATACCTTTCTTAAGTATATCTCAATCAAAAGGTTAAGTATAGGCCAAGTGTGCTTAGACTTTTGTGTATACTTGCCAGAATTAAGGCAAGTATATTTTGAAGAGTATACTTTGATAAACTAAAAAGTAAGCCAGTTGAGTCCCAATATGTATTGACATATACATACAAGTATACTTTAATGATATTATGATATCAATGATACCTAATTTCCCTCTGGGGAATAATAAAGTATTTCTGATTTCTGATTATTAGTACACTTACTAAATAAAGTTTACTTGGAATACTTGAACTTTACTTAAGTTTGCATAATAAAATGAACTTGCAGTATACACTTTTGTTAGTGTAGTCCAGCATAAGGTCACTTTCAGCAGGTTTTGTAGACGAGAGAGAAATCAAAGTTAAGGTGAAATCTCATTTGTGCTTGATGAAGCACCTAAGCCATTATCTTCAGTGAATCTCAAGCCCTCTCACCCCTGCACTCATCACCGCAGAGCATCAATAGAGTAACATCAAGGGTTTTTTTGCTGTTCCCATGTTCTCAATCCTGCCATTTCGCAGGCATTCGTATGCTGGACCAGCCCTTCATGACGGACATCATCGAGGCCTCGTCCATCAGCCACATGCCACAGGTTATTGACATCTACAGCGCCAGCTGGGGTCCCACCGACGACGGCAAGACGGTGGACGGCCCACGTGAGCTCACCCTGCAGGCCATGGCTGACGGAGTCAACAAGGTACCTCATGCTTAAAAACCACAGAGATTTCTTACAGGATAAGCGTAGCTAAATTGATTCCCTTTTGAATCACCTGAGAGAGAGAAAAAAAGAGAGGAAATACAGAGGTACAGAATTGTAACATCTGGTCCAGTCAGGAAAAAAACCCAGAGTTCAGAGTCTTCCTGGTCTCTCTCTGCCACTTTAGATCAACTTTAACACCAGACACCTGGACAAATAATGCTGTACTTCAGAAAATTTACATTTACATTTAGACATTTAGCAGACGCTTTTATCCAAAGTGACTTACAAATGAGGACAATGGAAGCAATCAAAATAAAAAAAGAGCAATGATATGCAAGTGCTATAACAAGTCTCAGTTAGCTTAATGCAGTACACATAGCAAGGTTTTTTAAATCATATAATAAATTAAAAGAAAACAGATAGAATAGAAAAAGAATAGAGCAAGCTAGTGTTAGAGGCCTTTTTTGCTTTTGTTAATTGTATAATAAATAAAAATAAAACAAATAGAATGCAAAAAGATTAGAGAAGCAAGTGTTAGTGTTTTTTTTAAAGAAAACAAGCAGTTAGTAAATAAATAGAGTGCAAGTCTAAAAGGGGCAAGTTTATTTTTTATTTTTATTTATTTATAAAAATAGAATTAGAGTAGAGAGTGCTAGAGAAACATTAATGCCTTGAATTTTATGCGAGCAGCTATTTGTAGCCAGTGCAAATTGATAAACAGAGGTGGCACGTCACGTCGGCGGCAGTTTGCCCGATTCAACATGTTGATATAGACAGTTAATTCCTCTCATGCATGTGTAGAACGCACATGTTAGTTTGCCGTCGGCTGTAGTCTGTGCGGTGTGTTCGAGCGCAGTTTTTTGGTCCGACATGAGGCGACAACACCGTCGGCTTTCGTCGCCGCTAGTTCTTTGAAGTCGGCTTGGTGTGTCCCGGCCTTTAGG